TCTGTCTCCTGCAGCTCCTGGCTTGAATCCCCAAATTTGCCTTTTTTAAGATTTATTTATTTGAAAGGGTTACACAGAGGAGAGGCAGAGAGAGAGGGGTCTTCCATCCGCTGGTTCACTCTCCAGTTGGCCACAATGGCCAGAGCTGTGCTGATGCAAAGCCAGGAGCCAGGAGCTTCTTCCAGGTCTCCCACGCGGGTGCAGCGGCCCAAGGACTTGGGCCATTTTCCACTGCTTTCCCAGGCCCTAGCAGAGAGCTGGATCTGAAGTGGAGCAGCTGGACTTGAATTGGCACTTATTTGGGATGCCAGCGCTGTAGGCAGCAGCTCTACCCTCTACGCCACAGCACCAGCCCCCAAATTTACCCTTTTAATTCGGGGTTTTGTGACTCCTAACTTGAAGGGCCTCAGACCATAGCGCCATTGACAATAGAACTTAAAATGTGCCTCTTCCACAGAAACAGCTTATCAGTGTTAGATCTTTGAGTTCTGAAAAATGTATTTGAAGTTTAGATTTTTTTAGTAAAAAGTAGTGAAGTAGAAAAAAACTATTTTTCTGATAACTACAGAAAACAAATTAGTTAAATTGCAACTAGTGTGGATGATTGGTTTTAATTTTAGTTTGTTTTTTTTTAAAATTGTTTGAAAGGCAGAGATAGGTCTTCTGTTTGCTGGTTCACTTCCCAAATGCCTGCGACAACCAGAGCTGTGTCAGGCCAGTCAAGAGCACTCAATATGGATCTCTCATATTGGTGATAGAACCCAAGTACTTGAGCCATCAACTATTGCTTCCCAGGGTACACGTGGAGAGAAAGTGGATCAGAGGCCAAGCCAGGACTTGAACCCAGAGAAGTTAGTATGAGCTGTCCCAGTCATCGTCTTCACATCTGTACCAAATGCTCACTCCTGTTTTAGTTTTTAAAATGTTTAACTTAAATTCCACTTTGAGAAGAAGCAAGTTTAATTGGAGAATGAGAGAGAGAATTTGGCCCCAAAAGTTAAACTGTCTGTGTTTGAACAGACCAGCCAAGCGTGTTCTACCAAATTGCTCCCTAAATTGTATATACAAATGTACAGGTGGCTGTCTAGCCTTCGCTCTGTGGGGAAAGCATCCCTGGGAGTGTATGGAGCATTAATAAACCAGGGCCTTTTCTTATAATTGCGTGTGTGTTCTGGGCCTAGATGGGGAGTTGCGAGATTATATTGGGCTCGTGCCCTTCGCTGTCTCAAGCGCCGTCTTCTGAAGCGGTTCTCTGTTGCAAGGCAGTCCGGATCCCCTCATTCCTGAGAAGGGCTGGAGGGGCCTCTGGGGACCCTCTGAGAACCCCAGAGTTGATCCAAAGATTAAAGCTGAAGACATTTAAGATTCAGTGGATGCAGGGGGAAAAGCCTTCTTGAAGTTTACCCGACTACAAGGAAATACTTTTGAGAAGTAAGGACTGAGGTAAATTCCCTCTTTGTGGGGAGGGGCTCCCAGGAGAAACAAAGTATAGGCTACCATTACCTGGGGGTAGTTTTATGGCTCATAAAAGGCAGAAAAGCCACTCATTACTTTGTAGACAGATTCTTATCATAAACTTTCTTGTTTCTCATTTGTTCTCCATAAACTCCTGTTTTTCCCAAGAGCCGTTATTCTCCCCTCTCTTTCCTAAGTTAGAGTGTGTAAGCCCCAGATTCTAACTGCCCTTTGAGTTCCTCCTTACTAAATGTGTGTATAGCACTGCACCCATAAGTAAACTCTCCTGGTCATCTGTCGTGTCAGTTGATTACCATGGAGGAAGAGTTCCTCTCGCACCTCAGCTGCAGCTTCTGTCAGCCAAGGTCCTGTTAGAACTTGAAGCAGACTTGACGGCTGCTGGTAGGGCTTTCAGGCCCTGTCACACCCACGTGGAACCCTCCCGTGGTCTCTCATTTATGTAGTAATTCCCACTTTGCTCTGTACTTACTCCCCAGTGGCTCATCTGCAAACTCTGTTACATCTGTACCCTTTCCAGCCTTTTTTCTTTTTATTGTTATAGTTGATCAGTTGTTTTATGTTTACTGACTACTTGTATTTTATGGCTTGTCTCTCTCTAACTTTTTCTTCTGAGGTGTTTATTTTTCCCTCACTCTAGTGTAAAAGCCATAGGAGGTAGGTAGCCTCAAAAAAAGAAAAATATGAATCTTAAATAAAGATCTCCTGATTCAATAATAGATTCTCAAATGCTTTTTTTTTACCTTGCAGTAATTCTGAGGAAAAATCATAAATACAGAAGAAATTTTATTTAGAAAGACATTATTTATAATTGGGAAAATTGGAAATGTTCAGTAGGGGAAATTGTATGGTAACATATATTTTAAAGTATTTTAAGTACTATAGTTTCCTCTCAGCTGTGTTTTAAAATATAGTCGTAAATGTACCAAAATATTAGTGGTGACATTAATGGGTAACATTTTCTTTTAAATGTTAGTATGCTTTTAATTAATGTGAGTATGCTTATAATCAGAAATGAGTTTTCTTTAATCCAAGTTTCTCTGTATTTCATTATCTTGGAATCCCACAATCCTGATACAAACCCATATGCAATCCTGTAGAAATCTCTGTCTCTGCTTTTCAAATAAAATGAAAAATAATTATTTTTTATGGTTACTATTAATTTCCTAAGTGTTTTACTAATTCATTTTATTTGGAAGGCAGAGAGAGCTTCTATCTGCCAGTTCACTCCCCAAAACGCCTGCAGTAGTCAGGACTGAGCCAGGCCAAAACCAGGAACCTGGAACTGTCTGGGTCTTCTGTGTAGGTGGCGGGGACCCAAGTACTTGAGCCATCATCTGCCACCTCCCTGAGTGCCCATTACCAGAGTGAAACTATATGGGATGTGGTTGTCACAAACTGACCTAACGTGATGGAGACCTGGCCTGGCTTTTGTTAATCCTTTGTTGGTTTTACATCTAGTTTTTTTCCCCCCCTAATTACAGAAGAAATAACCGCTTGTAAAATTTTTAAGTAAAGTACAGCTCTGGATAAAGTGGACAGCAAAGGCCCTTGACATTCCCCTAATCCCATTCCTCAGGAAGTCTTTCTGAGCATCTGTTACATTCTGGGCACTGTTTGCTACCACTTCATGAGGCGGATGTCTTCTCCATTTTAGAGGAAACGGGCACAGAAAGGTTGAGTGACTTGTCCAAGGTCAATAGATTTCAAGTGAGAGCCGGCTTGGATGCAGGCATCTGTCTCCAGAGCCCACCTCTTTGACACACAGTTGAACTGCATTTTTCAGATTTGCTGATTGCTTGTTAGAGAAGGGGGGGAAGCCAGAGGTATGTAGAGAAAGAAGTTAATGGTAAAATAGGGCTGCAAGCATCCTGAAACTGGGAGTGAGTGTTAGAGGAGTGGGTATGGCTGATTTGTCCTCCTTTGTAAATAGGGGAGGAGAATGAGGGTACAAAGAATAACATCTGAGTAGATCAATGTGTGTTGAAAGATGCAGGTTTGACCAAGCAGCAGTGGCAGTTGGGATTATCATAGTGGCTCTGCACAGGGAGCTGAGTAACCAGTGATTAGAGTCAACAGATGTGATCTCCTTGGATGGATTTGATGCTGAAAAACAAACTGAATTTTATGTCTTAACAGTTTTCTACCCTAGAAAGGCCTCTCACATATAGCTCAGATCATTCTTTATTTTGAACAAAGGACTCTTGCATCTTGATTCCATTCCACTGTGGAAATAAACTTGGTAAAGGTGAATAAAACCAGAGTTACAAAGTGTGTTAGGGGCCAGTGCTGTAGCATAGCAGGAAAAGCCACCGCCTGCAGTGCTGGCATCCCATATGGGTGCCAGTTCGAGTCCCAGCTGCTCCACTTTCAATCCAGCTCTCTGCTATGGCCTGGAAAAGCAGTAGAAGATGGCCCAAGTCCTTGGGCCCCTGCACCCACGTGGGAGACCTGGTAGCTCCTGGCTCTTGGCTTCGGATTGGCACAGTTCTGGCCATTGTGGCCAGTTGGGGGAGTGAACCAGTGGATGGAAGACCTCTCTCTCTGCCTCTCCTCTCTCTATGTAACTCTTTCAAATAAATCATCTTTTATTAAAGTGTGAGTACAGAAATCTAGACAGAATCTATGTTGCTAGGGAAGGTAAGGCTTCCCCCTTTTTCAGTGGTCCTCTCCTTGGTCTTAAGGTAGGCTCAGTCTCAAGGGATATCTTGGCACAGTTGCATTCAGGTGAAGCCACCCTTGGGAGAACAGACAGGTTTCGGGAAAGGAATAATTCTTATTTACATGTTTTGTAAAAATGTTTATTTGAAAGAGCGACAGAGATAGGAATGAGAGAGAGATACTCCCATCTTTCTCAAATGCCAGCAACAGGCAGGACCGGGCCAGACGAAAGCCAGGAGCCTGGATGGAACTCAGGCCTGGTGTCCCGTGTGGGTAATAGGGGCCCAAACACTGGCCGTCTTGGATCTTCCTCTGCCTTCCCAGGTGCATTAGCAGACAGCTATCTACATCTTAACAATTAGTTTCTAGGGTGGGCATTTAACCTAGCTGTTAGACACCGTTTGAGATACTGCATCCCTTATGCTGGAGTACCAGATTTCAATAACTGGCTCCCAATTTCCTGACTTCAGCTTCCTGCCACTGGAGACCCTGGGAGGCAGGGTGATTGCTCAAGTAGTTGGGTTCTTGTCACCCTAATGGGAGACCTAGATTGAAGGGTGAACCAGTAGATGGATGGGAACTCTGTCTCTGGCCCAAATAAATAACTGGAGCTACTATTTCTGGACATTACAGAGTGTAAGTACAGTTATTTATGCCATGCAGTAACATTCCGTCTTTGAGTCTATTAGTGAACTGCTACTAATAGGTTAATAATTTCTCATATATTTATAACTGTGATGTTGGTCTGAATAAGAGACTTCCCCTATGTGGATGTTTCTGCAGGATATTTATGGTTGGAGTTTCTGCTTTTTTGTTTTCTACATATTTTTTGAGAGCTTGTCCCTCTTTTTCTTTGTCATCTACAGGTTCGGGAACTTGTCCTGGACAATTGCAAATCAAATGATGGGAAAATTGAGGGCCTAACAGCTGAATTTGTGAATTTAGAGTTTCTCAGTTTAATAAATGTAGGCTTGATCTCAGTTTCGAATCTCCCCAAGCTACCGAAATTGAAAAAGGTAAGTGTGTTTTCTTTAACAATAAGAGAACTATCCTGGGAAGGGAAAATGTAGGGTTTTACATGTAAGGAAGTGTAGCACAGATCACATGGCCTTTGGAACTGGGCAGATGAGGATTGAATTCCAGCTCTATCATTTCTTCGATGAGTGATCATCTGCAGGCGGCTTAATCTCCCTGAGGCTCAGTTTCCTCACCTGTAAACTGGTTACACCACATGACCTGCAGAATTGTAGTGATGTTTGGAAATAATGCATGACAGATGATCAACAGATAGTAGTTAAAGAGTATGAATAATTTGTTAAATGCTGTAAATTTATTGCTATAATCTTAACTAGAAATTTCTCTTAGTATGTTCTGTCAGGAACCACAGTCCCTCCCATTCTTCATGTTTTGTGTCTGTTGATTAAGTGTGAGTTTGAGACTTTCAGACTTATATTATAGTCCATGATAATTCCAAACCGTTACATAATTCTGAAATGATTAGTTTTGAGGTTTGTTGTGTCTGGCTGGAAGAATCGAGTGTAGCTAAGCTACCCTGTTTCCCTAACCTGCTTACAGCCTGTGGTTAGCGCTTTACTGGTCTGCTTACAACTCATTCCATCCCCCTTCCAGGCCACCCCCCACCCTCCAAAAGAAGGACAAAACACTGAAGAAAACATTTCCCTTGTTTTCGCACATGTAAATGTTTCAGGGCCCTGGAATGTCAGAGCCAAGTGCCATATTTACAGACTTAGCAACAAGCAAGATAGTGTGCCTAGAGCTGCCCACAGTTGTCAGTATTAGAGCCATGACTGACACCCAGATCTTCTAACCCAGTACCTTTTCCAGCACATAGGAAAATATGTGTGGTTATATACACTTGGCAGGATATTCACTTTATGAGCCAGTTAGGTAGAATCTTTATTTTAACAAAGGCACACTATAAAAAAAATAATCAAATGTAGCAAAGAGCAGGTAAGCAACTTCTGGCCTAAAAGTTTTTATTTGCCTGGCTAAGGTAATTTATCAAGCAGTCCTCATGGGTTTTAGGTGATACTTTCTGATGAGAAAGAAAATTTTCCCTTTCTTAAGTATCTATTCCAGTGTGATCCTTTTATATTTGCATGGGCTGTCGGTGACATTGGAAACTCTGATTAGCCCAGTTAAACATAGAATGGCTTTTTGGCATCTATTTACATAAACTTGATGCTAGCAGATTCTTAGTAGTGTTCTCATTTTCCTAGCATCCTGATGTATTTTTCTGAATTACTTTGTTCCGTGTACTGTCAGATTTATTCAGAAAGTCAGCCTGTCAGTGATCATTTATATAAGAGCTTTATAGAGTCTTCCTTAGGTTTTTAAACATGTAATTCCTTTTTTAGGGCCTGTGAAGCTGGGTCATGTTTAGAGGCAGATCAAGTGTTCTCATAGATAGTAAGAACTTCATTTTCTTCCAACCCAGAGCACAGGCCATCTTATTTGAACAGGAAACAAATATTGAAAAAAATTTTGATATAAAAGTCAAAGGTTTCCTAAATTATTACATTTATTTCATTTCAAAATAAACATACTACTGAATGCTTTTGTGGGCTGGCTTATTATCCATATTTCATAAGCTGCTCACACTGAAAGGATGTAAATGTTGCATGGGGTATTATAATCAACCATGTGGTCTTGTTTCAGACCAAGAAAAGTCTGTTTTCACTTTGACTTACTAAAGTAATGCAACTAACATTTGAATCTTTATTGACTTGACTTGTATTTTTAAATCCAGACTCAGACTAGATATATGACTGGAATATCACATTGAAAGGAAAAATGCTTTGAAAGGTTATATTCAAACAAAATTTTTTAATGTTACATTTTCCTCTTTAAAATATTTAATACGAACTAAGCTGGCTTGGTTCTTAAATTTTTTTTTTTTTTTTTTTTCAGTAAAAAAATTAAATTTTAAGGTTGGTTGGTTGGCCGGCACCGCGGCTCACTAGGCCAGTCCTCTGCCTGCGGCGCCGGCACCCCGAGTTCTAGGCCTGGTTGGGGCGCCGGATTCTGTCCTGGTTGCTCGTCTTCCAGTCCAGGTCCTTGGGCCCTGCACCCACATGGGAGACTAGGAGAAAGCACCTGGCTCCTGGCTTCGGATTGGCGCAGCGCACTGGCTGCAGCCATTTGAGGGGTGAACCAACAGAAGAAAGACCTTTCTCTGTCTCTCTCTCTCTCACTCTCACTGTCTAACTCTGCCTGTCAAAAAATAAATAAAGTTGGTTGGCATCACGCAGTGTGTTTCATTTCGTGCCCAAAGTTTGATTACATGAAGTTTCCATATATAGCATATATAGGTTCACAGCTAAGAGGGGAGGACTTGGGGTCTTAGGCAAGTTAACTTGTTTGTAGGTCCTTTTCATCAGTAAATGGGGTAGTGATTCTGCGTGTACCATAAAATGATCTTTCAAATTATTTATTTATTTATTTGTTTGAAAGCTAGAGTGACAGAGAAGGAGAGGCAGAGAACCTTTTATTCCACTGGCTCACTCCCAAACAGTCACAATGACTGGGGCCTGGTGAGGCTGAAGGCAGGAGCCCACCTGCATGGGCCATGTTCCTCTGTCTTCCCAGTCACATTAACGGGAGCTGGATCAGAAGTGGAGCAGCAGGGACTCAGACCTGTGCTCCCAAATGGGATATTGACATCACAGGTAGTAGGCTTAACCTCCTGCACCACAATGCTGGTCCCCTGCCTTTGCTTCTTGACCTGCAGCTAAGAAATTAGGGTAGATGCTTACAAAGGCTGGTGCCAGCTTCATTTAAGAAGGGGTTGCTGTCGTGAGCCTGAGTGTCACCCAGTCCCTTTCCTGAAGTCATGGAGCTGCTCTGTAGACTCATTCCTCCTGTGGTCTTCCGAGCACCATTCCCCATTGATTCCAGATGTGGAACTTCACAGTGTGTTAGCACTGTCCAGAAGCAAATTATATTTCAAGCAGGTATTAGAAACTTTTTGCTTGGCATCTAATTAAGCTGCTCAGAATGCTTAGACCATTGACCCTTTCTGACGAGTGTAGCAAATGACAGCTTCTTAGAAATAGTGCTCACTCATACTGAGGTCAGTTGTAGCTGGTTAACACACTGCTCGCCTTGTCCTGCCTGCCCCAGCCCCAGTGTTGCTGGGGTCTGTAAACTTTGGACTCAAAACAACATGAACATGCATACCCTAATAGAAATAGGAGTATTTGACCTTGATACGTATTTGGGGGCTATATTTGCTGTGTTTAGCACTTTACTGAGTGTGTTTGTCTATGTGTATGTGCTTGTATGTTTTCTTTTGTAGCTTGAGCTCAGTGACAATAGAATCTATGGAGGTCTGGACATGTTAGCAGAAAAACTTCCAAATCTCACACATCTAAACTTGAGTGGAAATAAGCTGAAAGATATCAGCACCTTGGAGCCATTGGTAAGTAACTGAGAATTTGGAAACTGGGACTTACTGGTCATTTTCATTTTCATATTTCTTTATAGAGTGGGAAATGACTGGGGACTATAATGGATTGAGACAGTGTTGGCTTCTTTTTTTTTTTTTTTTTTTTTTTGACAGGCAGAGTGGACAGTGAGAGAGACAGAGAGAAAGGTCTTCCATTCACCGTTGGTTCACCCTCCAATGGCTGCCACGGCCGGTGCACCGCGCTGATCCGATGGCAGGAGCCAGGTGCTGCTTCTCCTGGTCTCCCATGGGGTGCAGGGCCCAAGTACTTGGGCTGTCCTCCACTGCACTCCCTGGCCACAGCAGAGAGCTGGCCTGGAAGAGGGGCAACCGGGACAGAATCCGGCGCCCCGACCGGGACTAGAACCCTGTGTGCTGGCGCCGCAAGGTGGAGGATTAGCCTAGTGAGCCGCGACGCCAGCCTTTTTTGTTTCTTGGTTTGTTTTTCTTTTTTACTTTTTAAAGAAGTCCCAGTTTTAAAGATCAGGGCCTCATGTGTGTTCCTGTGACTTTGCTTTCCCTGCCTGATGATGTTGGCTTCCTTCAAAGGGAAATTTTGGAGGTTTTTTGTTTTGTCCTTTTAAAAATTGATACATTAAGGAAAAACTCAAACATACATCTTAAAATTTTTACCCCAAACTGACCAAGCTTTTGTGTACTTTCATAGTTGAAGAACACTGTTGACATTGGGTGGAACATCTGACTTGTAGATGACACAGCATGAACAGCTGTGGTCAGTTTTAGGTTTTATTTGTGATCTGTGCTCTGCCAGATCCTGTTGCCTAACGTTTTGCATGGGAACCCTAAGAGTCTGCTCAGTCTCATATATTGGGATAAGCTACGGGAAGCTAAATTTAAATGCCACTTGGGTTTTGGACTTGTCACCTCGGGCAGACTGCTTCTCTGAGCCTCAGTTTCCTCACTCATGCAGTAGGGAGGACAGTAATCTCAGCCTCACCTCCCCTAGGGGTTCTGAGAATGCAGTCAGGTGATACACTTTGCATCGTAAGTTGGGAAGCTTAGTGGGGCTTCCTAGTGGAGGGGCTGGACAAAAAGAACTTTCTGCAGGCAGGATTGGAAGTGGGCTCCTGCAGGGTAGGGTGTCGCTGGGGAGAGCGTTTTGCAGTAGACAGGAGCTGTTTTTTAGGACCTAGAAGAGTAGAACTTGAGGATAAGACAACTCTGTTTTCACTTACCTTTTCTGAAATGATATATTAAAATATAGCTGATTTTGTATCATTTGTGTAGAATGCTCTTACTTCCAGGTATGTTAGGGTTAAATTGTGTGTTCTTTTAGTGAAGAATATTTGCTGCCAGAAATATTGGGTCTTTTCCCTCCTAATCAATAACAGATTCTGCTCCAATACAGATTTAGCTACTTTTTATTGAGTCCCTTTATTTATTTTTGCATTTCATTAAGTGGACCATATTTAAGAACCAAATTTCTTGAATATCAGGAGCCTATTGGTCCATATTTTTTTCTGTTACAGATAATGCTTGGGTAGTCAAGCTTGCTCATTTTTACCAGTTCATTCTTAATTATCCTCCAAACCAACTCCCTTTCCAAAGGTTGAGCAGGTGTTACTGAATTTTGCTGTGCCCAAGGACATTAACATTTGTCATTGTATCCTCAGATAACCCAGAGAAGAGATCATGACTGTCCTCCTTGTAGATATGAAGAAACTGAGTTCTGAGACTTAAATAATTGCCTGGGATAAGTGGGAGAGTAGGGGTTCAAATCCAAGTTCACTGCTCTTTCTACTGCCCCTGTGACCTGTTCTTTCTTCCTGTGAATTTTTCCATACCCAGATTTCCCTAGGCTGGGGATTGCAACAGGAGTACTAAGTAAAGTGCTGTCATTCTCCCAGGCAGGTGGGCTACACTGAGCTTTTGTTTACTGGTGAACGACAGTCCTGTCTGTCCTGGATTTCTGTGAACACAGGACTTCCTAATCCCTTCCCCTCACCTTTCCGTACTAGACAACGCCTATTGCCTGATTCTTCTGGCAGCCTGAATTTTCTGGTTATCAGAAGCCTTGCCAGCATTCTGGTACATAGAGGCAGAGCAGAAACAAAGCAACATGTGGGAGTTTGAGTGTTCCTGACTGGTCAGTAATCCATTGAGAACCCTTTGGTGGCTGTGGTAGTCTTGGTTCCATGGGACTGTTAAAGATGAAAATATATCTTCATTGTATTTACCACTCTGGGAGGATCTGCTATGCCCATACATTGTACTGAGCTCTTTCCGCATGTTACCCTATTAGTAAGTGTCAGTAAGTGATTGGATGGAAATAGTTGCATGGCCCTCTCTTTACATTGAGGAAGCTAAGGCTTGGGTGAGGCTGACTCCCTTGTCCAGAATCACACACCCTGTGGCAGAGAGCCACAGCACTACATACCAGGGCTGTTTGGAAAAACCTGAGGTACCACCCATCTGCTTTACTAGCTGTTGAGATTCCTGGGGATTTTTAGGTTGGCTTCTAAAGTTCTAACTGGAAATGAAGTAAATTTGCAGAAAAAGATGATGGGGGAAGTATCGGGACCATTGTGACTTCTAAACATATTCTTTAGTGGGGGAGAAAATACCATCCTCATCCTCATTAACCACATACATTTTGAACACCGTCAACTTTTGAGCCCAGTTCTTACAGTCAATGCAATGATTGTGAATGCCTCTACTTGCTACAGGGACATTAATCGAGAGACAAAGAAGGCATCAATTCAAACTTCCTTGGACACCTTTTTTAAGAGACCTGGGCCATCCAAACCATCCCCCAAAGCCCTTCTAAATTCTAAGAAGGCAAGCAAAATTATTGTTAATACAATGTTTAATGTTTATTATGGCTAGCCTGTTAGCATAGGTCCGTTTTCTGGTGTGGTAAAATTGTGATTTTTTTAAAGCAGCATTTACACATTATTTTGGGATCCTGAATAATCTGTGTGTAGTGTATTTTTTGCCTACTAGGCCTTAAAAGCACAGTTTTACTACCTTAAACAATTTCAGACTACTGTAGTTACTTGCGATTTTTTTGTTGTTGTTGTTTATTTGCTTTCGTTTTGTTTCTAGCATACTGTTTGGCATGCCCAAATTACTTTACTGATGAGTGCTTTGTCAAGAAGTAGGGAAAAGTCTCAGATTCATGTAGTTGTAGAACCACGAGAGCCTCTGAGGCCCTGTACAAATAAGGGCTCTGGGTAGTGCACAGTATTAGATAAATAACAGAGGTTGTTTGCATTTTTGTATACCCATTCCAGGAAGTAATTGTAAGATATAAATGTCCCCTTTCTTTAAGTGAATTTTTAGAATGAACCACCATGGGAAAAGCTGCCTGAAATTAACTTCTGGTATGAAGGCCAGCGTGTTAGCTAGTTGTCTGGGGTGATATTGTAGTCTTTTTTTCCCTCTTTGGCAAGAAGTCACGCGTGAGCTTCTGGAAGCCAGAGTCTGACCTGAAAGTTACCTGATACGGAAACAGCTCTGAGGGCTAGGGACAGCTTTCCTGAGACATTGGGAGCTGGCTTACATAAGCACATTACTTGATCTGCAGACTCTTGTACATGTGTATGTCTTGAGGGATAGACACTGGGCTGTTGCCATAGCCCTGCTCTATCTCTTCCCTGACACTGTGTTCTCGAGGGCTGCTCAGTGCAATTAAACAAGTGTGAGAGCCTCTCCCTTGGTCAGAACATGGAGGTTCTGAAAGTGCAGAGGTCGACTGCCCATTTCCCAAGAGGACCACCTTGTAGGTAGGAGCAGGCTTTGTAGGCTTTGTAGGTCTGTCTCAGCTGCTTGGCTCTGCCACTGCAGCACAGAGGAAGCCATACACAGTGCATAGACAAATGCATGTGGCTGCATTCCCATGCAGCTCACTCCACAGAAACAGGTAGTGAGCCACAGTTGGCCACAGGACCATAGTTTTCCCACTGCTGCTGTGGCACTCTAAAGCAGATTTCCATGTCATTTTAAGTCTCCCCAGAAATATACAGGAACCCCAATCCTGAAAACAATTTTAACTTTATCTGCATTTCCTCTCATGTCCTTGTGAATATTGCAAGAGCTTTCCCAATAAAGCATCAATGTCTGTCTCTCTCTCTCTCTCTCTTTTTTTTTAATATTTATTTATTTGAAAGGCAGTTACAGAGCGGGAGCGACAGTCTTCCACCTGCTGGTTCACTCCCCTAAAGGCTGCAGAGCTGGCCAGGCCAAAGCCAGGAGCCAGGAGTTTCTTCTGGTTTCTCAGGTGGTTGCAGGGGTGCAAGCACTAAGGCCATCTTAATGCTGCTTTCCCAGGTGCATTTGAAGGGAGCTGGATCAGAAGTGGAGCAGCCAGGACTTGAACTGACAGCCATATGAGATGCTGGCGCTGTAGGCTGCAGCTTAACTTGCTAAGCCATAGTGCTGGCACCTTCTGCATCAGAATCTTTAAAACATCAATATTTATTTATTTAAGAACTTATTTCATGCAGAGATTCTCTTAAGGTTTGTTTGAGTTTATTAATACTATTTCCCCAGAGAATACCAAACCTTTTCTCTTGATTTAGGACCATTGAAAGTGGTCCAACTTGCTGCCCCTGTTTGAGAGGTGCCAGGCTGTGTCCTGCTTCACACTGTGTGCAGTTGATAGGTGCTCCCTCTGTCACCTGTGAGTCTGCTGTCCCTTCCTTTACTGTCTTCCCGTGTGCCTAAGCAGCACCTCTGCCCTCATCTCCTAACTCACCTTTAATCAAAACTTGATAGAGGTCCTCATGATCGAATAACAAATGAAGATCTGATTAAAGAATATGGACATTTTTCTTTACCTTGACTAATCGGAAAACTTCTTGGGCCAAGTTTTTAGATCTTAACTATGTTAGTAGATGAAACTGATTTCAAACAAACAAGGTATTGCAACAAAATCTAAAGGTCTGGTAGAATCCTTGAAAAGGTTTTTACATCAGAATAATCTGATAACAGTGCCAATCTTTTTCCAAAAAATTAAAAAATGAGGTGTTATGTTTCTCTTAAATTTCAACTCTTCAGTTCACCCTCCTTTTCCCTAGTCTATATCGACTCCTTCCTGAAAATGTATTTGCAGTGCCACACTTGACACTTTATTATGTTCTATCCGCCAGTGTTTCATATCCATGTCCCCAAGTAGAGCTGTAAGTACCTTGAGATTAAAGACTGTATTAAAATGTCTGAATTCTCCCATATGCTGCTGTCCCGGAGCGTTCTTTTTGGGTGTTTTTGATCACTCAAACATTAAAACTTTGGTTTGAACTAAATTTATTAGTCTGGTTGTCTCATGTGGTGGAAAAAGTCTGGCTTTAATAGAAATTATTTCAAATTTATATTTCTTCAAACATTTCTGCTGCTAGGAAAGACAGTTCTGAGTAGCTGAAGGGAGGCAGTGGCTAGTTACGGTCTCCTGACCTAATATAAAAGTTGCACAGGGGTATGTTTTCCTAGGGGCAAGGCTGAGTGGGTAGCAGCTAACTGGATGCAGAGCCTAGCATTTTACCTCTTTCAGAAGTTGGATTGTTGCTTATATTCCTTGGTTTAGGAGTTGTATTTTTTGGTCCTTTTCTTCAGAAAAAGTTGGATTGTCTGAAAAGTCTGGATCTGTTTAACTGTGAGGTCACTAACCTGAATGACTACCGAGAGAGCGTCTTCCGGCTCCTGCCCCAGCTGACCTACCTAGACGGCTACGACCGAGAGGACCGGGAAGCCCCTGACTCAGATGCTGAGGTGGATGGTGTAGATGAAGAAGAAGAAGATGAAGGTGTGTGAGCTCGAATCCAGGGGCGCCCTGATTTCCATCTGTGAAGGATCCTGATAAAGTTACTGCATATTCCCACTGTTGGAGAAAATAACTTGTGTGTAGGCACTCGAATTTAGAACTGATGCCTGTGCCTAATTTTAATAAGCTCTTGGCACATTGAAGCCTTGAAAGGTATCAAAGTAAAATGGTTTGTTAGGGAATGGGAGCCTAAAGATCATAGACTCTGCCCTGTCCAGCCCATTGAGGTGTTTTAGTGCATGGCCTCCTGGCTTCAGGCCTGTCCCTTCTCTTGGTTACCACCCACAAAGCCTTCAACTCGGCTTTGTCAGCATTTCCTGTGCCTGCTGAACTACCCCTTGCTTACTCCTAAGAGGCTTGCCACTCTAGTCCTGTCTTCCTCTGGGCAGCCATTCATCTTCTTGATTGGAGACTGTCTTAGACTTTTTTATTACAGGGCCTGGCACTCAGTTCATGTTTGTTATAGTCAAGTGTAAATAAAGCCTTCCTTGCATTTTATATGTACCTAGAATTTAAGAAGTAATGATTTGAAAGTATTCTGTTGGGGCCGGCATTGTGGCATAGCAGGTTAAGCCACTGCCTGCAGTGCTGGAATCCCATGTGGGCGCTGGTTCAAGTCCCAGCTGCTCTGCTTCTGATCCAGGTCCCTGCTGCTGTGGCCTGGGAAGCCAGTGGAGGATTGCCCAAGTCTTTGGGCCCCAGCACCCACCTGGGAGACCCAGGTGAGGCTCTTGGCTTTGGCCTGGCTCAGTCCTAGCCATTGTGGCTATTTGGGGAGTGAACCAGAGGATGAAGATTTCCTTCTTTCTCTCTCTCTGTCTCTCTCTGTCTCCCTCTCCTTCTTCTCTGTATGTCTGACTTTTGAATAAGTAAATAAGTCTTTTGAAAATCCTTATTTATTTATCTTTTTTCTGTTGGGGCCAGCATTGGTACAGCATGTTAACCTGCTGCCTATAGCGCCAGCATCCCATATGGGCTGCTGCTGTAGTTCCAATCCAGCTCCCTGCTAATGCACCTTTCATTAGGTACAGCAGAAGGATGGCCCAGATACTTGGGTCCCTGCCATTCACAGGGAAACTTCAGAGGAAGCTCCTGGCTCCTGGCTATGGGGTGGCCTTTTGGGGAGTGCAGCAAATGGAAGATCTCTGTCTCTTCCTCTCTATAGAACTCTGCCTTTCAAATAAATAAAATCTTTAAAAATATTATGTTAGGTTCTATTTTAAAGTTGTCTGCCTCAGTGTCCCTGCTGATGAGTGTGTTCTATCTTCATCAGCAGGAAGAAAACTTGGTGTCTTACAAGTCCTGATGTTGCTGAGTTTGTGCTGTTACATTTGAAGCATTGTGCCCCCCCCCCCGCATTCTCAAAAAAATTTTATTTATTTATTTGAGAGGCAGAGAGGTCTTCCATCCACTGGTTCCCTCCCCAAATGGCCGCAACGGCCAGAGCTGGGCCAATCTGAAAGCAGGAGCCAGGAGTTTCTTCCAGGTCTCGCATGCAGATGCAGGGGCCCAAGGACTTGTGCCATCTTCCACTGCTTTCCCAGGCCATAGTAGGGAGCTGGATGGGAAGTGGAGCAGCCGGGACTCAAGCCAGCACCCATATGGGATGCTGGCACTGCAGGTGGCAGCTTTACCCACTACACCACGGTGCCGGACCCTGAAGCATTGTTTTAAACATCTCTTTCCTTTCAAATTAATACAAGGCAGAAGTGGTCAAGAAAATGCAGGGGCCTGAGCTGTGGCTCACTTGGCTAATCCTCAGGTTGGGGCGCCGGGTACTAGTCCCGGTTGATCCTCTTCCAGTCCAGCTCTCTTCTGTGGCCCGGGAGGGCAGCAGAGGATGGCCCAAGTCCTTGGGCCCCTGCACCTGCATGGGGAGACCGGGAGGAAGCACCTTGCTCCTGGCTTCAGATTGGTGCAGCTCTGGCCGTAGCAGCCATTTGGGGAGTGAACCAACGGAAGGAAGACCTTTCTCTCTGTCTCTCTCACTGTCTCTAACTCTACCTGTCAAATTAAAGAAAAATGCAGGAAGAGAGCCACCCAGCAGCTTGAGTGTTTCAATGAGTACTCTTAATGTGTTGTCCAGCTGCAGACGGAGACAGGAAACAGTGAGATAGAAGGTGGTAAATGGACAGAGTAGGGAATCTCATCTGACTTGAAATGTTTACATCCTTCACTTCCTCCACTGCAGGTCGTCAGTTATTTCCAAAAATGATAGTGCCGCTTAGTACTCATGTAAGTTACACGAGTGGAACAGCTGCATGTCTAGGTGCTCAGAAAGGACATTCCTTGGAGGATGAAGGGCAGTTTCCAAGAGCAAAGATCAATCAGACAGCAAATATTTGAGCACTTTGTGTGTGCCGGACCCTGTGGAGATAGTGGTTTATAAAGCAGACACAGTTCTGATCCTCTTGGAGCTTACTATCTTAATGAAGAAGAAAAAGCTAATTAGAAATCACTAACAATGACAAGTGGGCAATAATGGAGGAGCACTGAGTGCTCATTTGAGAGCTTTTACTCTAGGATTGAGCTGTGTGGCAAGATTGCCTGAGAACGTGGTGTTAGCAGACTCGGGTGGGTGCAAGTCAGCCAAGTGGAGATGAGGGCACAGTGAGCTCTTGGGGTGGGGAGAGCTGCAGGGCAGCACAGAAATGGCGAGGAGGTGCAGCAGGCACAGTGCCTTAGTAACCTGCTGACGTGGAGGACAGGGGAAGTGACGGTCTCTTAGGTTCTTCATTTGAGGTCTGGCACTGGTGATAGCATCATCCGAGAGAAGGAAGGAGCATATGGTTTCTTGAAACTACTGTGGGAAAATTTCAGGCACTGGTAAGAATTGTAGTGTGTCTGGTGCACTAGCACTTACACTCTCCTGCCTTTGGGAGCTCCCTTAGACCAGGGCTTGAGCTGCAGCACTTGGTAAGAAGAGGGTGACTGGTTCCTGGTCTCCCCTGACATTGGTGCAGCCTGTGGCTCCCAGCCTGTTTGCAGATGTGCCCTTAGCACATTAAGGGTGTTTAACAGGTTCCTTTTTGGACTGTTTTCAGAAGGAGAAGATGAGGAGGATGAAGAGGATGAAGATGGCGAGGAGGAAGAGTTTGATGAAGAAGAGGATGAAGACGAAGATGAAGACGTAGAAGGGGAAGAAGATGAAGATGAAGTCAGTGGAGAGGTCAGTGTACCAGTGTTCTGCCTGCTTCCTGTTTGTGTTAAGACGGAGTGCAGGTTAAGAACAGAAATCGTCTTCTGAGTATACTATTGAGTCAGACACAGTGCTTGTCTCTGCAAGGTAGATTTTGGCCATTGAACCTTGGAAGGAAGGGATGGGTCGAGTATTCAAAAGGGTGAGAATACTGAAAACATTTGAGAATCGGGGGTTTGTTTCTTCGTTGTAGCAGAGGGAAGTGTATGTTCACCAGGTCTGAACTTGTGTACTCATTAATTCAGTACATAGGAATTTGGTCCTCCCCTGAAAAAACAGGTAGTCTAGTTTATGGGATACCCAGTAATACAGAGTCTGCAAGGAAACAAATGCAGTCGGAGGACAGGAGAAAAAAGTGACTTGACTTTGACTCTCAAGGAGGTTTGGGGAAACGGCACAAGAGAAAATTCATTGTGAACAAAAAGCAGTTAAGGCTGTGGGGTGGTCATTGTGGTACAGCAGCATAAGCAGCCTCTTGGGATGTCCACATCCCATTCAGTGTCATTCAGGTCCGGACACCTTTGTTACTGATGCAGCCTTGTTACTGATCCTGCTACTATATCTGGGTCGTCAGTAGATGATGGCTTAGTTGCTTTGGGAAGTGGATCATAAGATGGAATCTCTCTCCACTCCGCCTTTCATATAACCTTCAGGTCTTTGAGGAGTGATAAAGAAAGAAATCTGTATAAACCCGCATTGAAATTTAAGATTTTTTATTTGAAGATTTATTTATTTACTTATTTGAAAGAGAGAGAGCTTCCACTCCCCAAATGGCTGCAACAGCCAGAGCTGGGCCGGTCCAAAGCTTGGAGCCTGGAGCTTCTTCCTGGTCTCCCACATGGATACAGGAGCTCAGATACTTGGACCATGTTCTACTGCTTTCCCAGGCCAGTAGCAGAGAGCTGGATCAGAAGTGGAGCAGCCAGCTTCCATATGGGATGCCAGCACTGCAGGCGGCAGCCTTATCTGCTATGCCACAGCGCCAGCCCAGAATTCAAGATTTTAAAACCATTTCTTGAATTATCCATTTTAAGTTGTATCTCAAACATGTCTTGGATTTTAAAATTTGATCAGTAGATATAAGTACATCAAATAGATAAAAATAACAGGTTTTTACTGGATGTATTATTTACAAAGTATATTTTCCTTGCATGTCTCATTTTGGCAGAATTAATCTGACATTAGGCTGTTTCTTGTTCTTCAGGAAGAAGAATTTGGACATGATGGAGAAGTTGATGAAGATGAAGAAGACGAGGATGAGGATGAGGATGAGGATGAAGGTGGGTCCAATGCGTGCACTTTGGTCTTTGGTCCTCAGTTAAAAAATAAGATGGAAATACCCATTGTTCAGAATGTGATACTACTAAAAAAAAAAGTAAAATGCTGTTGAGTTCTAGTTTTTCAAGACAAATAGCATCTTCCCAGTTGTATCAGTGTTACTCCTTTTCCCACCACAGCCGAGACTAGTGCACTACCTGTTATCTACTTCATGCTCTGGAAGTACAGATCCTCTCAGTGTCTAAGTCTCGGGAAGCCTGGCTGGGTGACGGTGTGTCTCTGGTTTATCCTTCCTGAGGATCTACAATGGGCCAGGTGCTGGACTAAATATATATTGGATAGGACCTGTTACTGCCTTCAGGGATCTTTTTAGAACATGATTTAATGTAGATTTAGTTCAGTTCATAAAATGACCACACATTTTTAATATTTATTTGCTAGTTTAGTTGTAATCTATTCTATGCTAAGTACTTGGGTGTTATCTCATTTAATTCTTAGAATGCCCTTCAAATCAGTCCCATTGTCCCCACTTTACAAAGGAGGAAACAGGTTTAAAGAGGGTAAGTGGCTTGCTTAAAGCCATTTGTAAATAAGTATGGCTCAAAAACAGGCTAGCCAACTACAGAATCTTTATTGTGCATTTTAATGATTGCTAGACGTCTAATTGTCGGTGCCAGCAAGTTTAAGGATAATGAGTCGTTGGAAGAAAACCGGATTAGCTGTGTGCGCCTGGATGCCGCTGCAGTTGCCCATCTTGGCTCTGGTCACCACTTAACTTCCTTTGAAGGGCTGCGGCATAATCAACCTGCTGATGTGGTCAAGCTTACGTCTCTCTTGTTTCTTTCCACCCATCAAAGAACTTGTTGTTGTCTTAATTGGCAATAGCCTAGATAAAATGCCTCTCCAGGGGTCTCAGATCAGTGTTTGTCATTGTACAGAGGAAGAAGAAAGCGGCAAAGGTGAGAAGAGGAAGAGAGAAACAGATGATGAAGGAGAAGATGACTAAGGCCCCAGTAACCTGCGAAGACAGAACTGCTCAGCGTTGGTTGGACTGCTCATGGGTTTGGTAGCTGTTTTTTAAAAAGAAAAAAAAAGGTAGCTGTGATACAGACCCCAGGACACCCACCCACCCAAAGAGCCAAAGAATAGTTCCTGTGACATTCCACCTTCCTCCATGTAGTCCCTCTTGGTCACCCACCACCAAGCTCGGGGACTCACCCCAACAAAATTGTAAGCGTTGTTAGGTTTGTGTGTGAGACTTGCTGTAGCGTGGGCAGCTGGGATTGGTGAGTCAGCCGTCCGTGGCTACCAGTTACGCCGAGACTGTAACAGCATTTTTACTTTCTGTACAACAAGAAGCTTTGTAAATAAAATCTTAACATTTTGGGTCTGTTTTTTCATGCTTTTCTTTTTTAATGATTTTTTTTTAACATCAGGACGTTTTATATGACAACTGCCAAAAAAGTATTTTTAAGCCTTTAAGTGAAATAAACACATTACTCTTTGGTAAAGCCAAGTTGTATGCTTACATTTTTAAGTTAGACTCTAATTGTAAGCTCATGTTAAAACACATTGAAGAACTGGTTTTCTTTGGTGATTTTTTTAAAAAGATAATGGCCAAAATTGAATGTTCAACTGCCCCTGCAAGTCAGTAAAGTAGTGTTAGGTTCAAGATGTACATGGATTAATGGAAAGGTTAACGTAAAGGAGAAGTCCTTAACTAGGGTCTCAGGGGATCTGAATTCCAATTCTGACTGTGCCACTGATTTCTTATGTGGCCTTGTGTTGACCTTCGGTTGCCTGCCAGTCAGTTAAATTGAGGGGGTGTGGCCACATGGCTTTAGAGGTCTCGTGCGGCACTGAGAGTCTGTGACCCTCACTGACAAGAAGGCCTGAAGGGAAAAAATGGGCTTTGCACCAAGGCTGAAGCTGTTTGGGTGTGACTGACAGGTGAACAGAGCCGGATTTGTTACCGAGACAGGCGTGCTAAGGAGGAGTGACATGTGAAAAGCCTTACTGAGGAATGGGTAGGCACTGCCCAAGGTCAACTCAGCTTCCCAGATGATGGAGGGTTTCTCTATTCTTAGCTTAATGGGAGCTGGGGGAGGGGGAGGGTATTCTGCAGTCTGAATCCCATGGTTCAACCATTTAGAAAATATATGTATGATGACATTGTCAGTTACAGTGTTCTGTGATGCGAGATGGGTGGGTGTTTTAGTAAATATTAGCTACCAGGTTGGGTTAGGTTTTTACGAATGTAAAACCAAATGGAAAAGTAGGAATCTAATTTGAATTTATAACCAGAAACGTCTGAACGGAGCCCCCTGCATTGTTTAGTTTCCCCTAGGCTTTAAATTGGGTTGCATTTTTTGCTAAAGAAATTAAGGAAAATTGAACTTAAATTTCTGTTTAACCGGTGTTTACTTTCTGACTACAAGGCCATTTAGCAAACATTCAATATCTTTTTTTTTTTTTTTTTTAAGATTTATTTGTTTAATTGAAAGGCAGAGTTAGATCTTCCATCTGCTGGTTAACTCCCCAAATGGCCACAGTAGCTAGAGCTGGGCTGATCCAAAGCCAGGAGCTTCTTTTCGGGTCTCCCACCTGGTGCAGTGGCTCAACACTTGGACCGTCTTCTGCTTCCCCAGGTGCATTAGCAGGAAGCCGTATCAGAAGTGGAGCAGCCAGGACTAGAACCAGCGGCCAATTAGATGCCAGCATTGCAGACAGCAGCTTTACCTGTTAGACCAGAGCAATGGCCCCAATGTTCAGTGCCTTGTAAAGTGGTTTGTTTTGTAGCCTAGGGGTCCTGAAGGGTTTATGTTGTTATGGACTTAGAAACCATTATGGATGGTTCCCCCCTCCCTAGTTTTTGATTTTGGCTTAAACAGTAGGGATTTATTCTCACAGTTCTGGAAGCTGGAAGTGCAAGAGCAACAGGTTGACAGGTTTGGTTTCTCTAATCTTTCTCTCTGGAAGGGAAATGCTGGTGTGTCTGGGTCCAGGCTTTCTCTACTTATAAGGATATCAGTGAGGCTGGATTAGTGCCCACCATAATTGTCTTTTTTTTTTTTTTCCCCTAAATTACCTTCATTACATTTCTCTGGTTTTTGAAGTTGATGGAATTGGCCATGTCTACCAAACACCTGAGATTTGTCTGGGCAGTCGGGGGAGCCAGCCTTGCTGTTCACAGTGACTAGTATGGAAGAGAAGACAGACATCCATGTGAGTGACACCTACTAGGCGGGGCCTGGAGAGCCAACAGAATGTTCAGGTGCCATCCAGCTGCAGCTGGGGAAGTGGACTAGACCGGACAGTCTAGTTGAGGAAGGAGATAGAGGGCAGAGGCAGGAAGTTGCTGGGTAGATGCAGATTGGCAGGTGTGATGAGAAAAGCATAAAGGAATGGAAGATGAGCCTGGAGGAGTAATTTGGGCCCTTCTGAAGGGCCTTGGAGGTCAGACCTTTCTTGCGCATTCGCTTTGTAAAATATTGGCTTGACCATGTGGCCAGTGAGGATATTTAGGCAATTCAGCCAGATTGCACATGTCTCATGTTTCTTTGCAAAGTGGGAAGTTCTAAGAGAAGCAGGTCTCTTGGGGATGAGGTCACAGAACAGGTTGTATTTTAGGAGTTGTCTCAACTGGAGGAGTTTCCAGTTTTTGCAGCAAGTAGTTGAGTTATACATATATGTGTGGATTTACATTGTGTGCCAGGTGGAACTGTGGTGTACTGGGTGAACAGTCCTGACCAGCTCCTCTGGGGTCCGCTGAGGCATGTTCTGCTTGGATTCAAGTGTGATGATGTGGGTGGGCCATTGCTCCTTGAGACATGGGAGAGTCCAGGACTGGCCCAAGGTGTCCTGGTGAAGTCATGAAAGAGCCTAGCCCAGAACACACTTGGCCACGGCTTTGCTGTGCTCTCCCCTCTAGTTCACACCTACAACAGGCAAGTGCAGCCCTGGAGCTGTGTCTGACACTTGGCCACCTGATGTGCAGGCCATACCCCACCCCCTCCATCGCACCACTGGGACTCCAGAAGTGGATGCCCAAGGATGTTGCGCTGCTGAGGGGGTCCGGCGTTCCTAGTATGGCTACACCACCCTATTGCCAGAGAGAAGTGACAGAACCAAGGGGGTTCCCTTGTGCTGTGACCTTCCGCCGTCACGTTGTGCTGACATCAATTTTAATGAGGTGGATGATAACGCTGTGTTGACAGTTTGAAAGGGAGTCGAGTTACTAGCAGACTTCAGCCAGCCAAACAGTTGTTCTGCAGGGAAACTGCCAAGGTGGCAGTGTGTGGGGAAGTCACCCCCCGAGCCAGCTAGGCCAGCCCCATGATCTCATCCAGCGGGCGGTTTATACCTGGTCCCAGAGCTGTTGGGGAGGGGCTGTAGGGCAGAGGGGCACCCTCTGAGTTACTCTGACGAGGGGGACTTGACCTTGCTAGGAGGAGTTGGGCTGTGTATGTTCGCTACTGCACAGCCCCTCCCTGTCCGAGGAGGGAGGGAGCAATGTCTCAAACAGATCCAGGGACCTCATTCTAGTCCTGCTGGCCTCGGCCAAGTCCCTTCTCAGTGAACCATCAGTTTCTCAACTGAAAACCTGAGGCCCAAGCTAAGTGAGCTTGCGGGTCATGGATACTGTGGAGATCTGAGCGCCAGCCAGCAACAGGGATACTCGCAGCCCCTCGGGGTAAGGAGATAGTGGAGCCGGGCTTGAGGCTGAGAGCAGAGAAGGGCAGACCAGCAGCGGGAGGCCAAGGGCTGCACCCCCACTCTGACTCCAGGGGAGGGTGGTGTCTTCCAGAAACTGCAGCAGGTGCACTGGTTCTCCTGTCAAGCGAGTCCGTCTTGCAGGAGCAAGGACACTGTCGAGCACTAGGAAGCGCTTCCATCGGAAGGAAAAGGGAGCAGGCGGCAGTACTGAGAATTCTACCTTCAGCTTCCCTGAAAAGTAATAAACTTCAGGCCGGCGCCGCGGCTCACTAGGCTAATCCTCCGCCTTGCGGCGCCGGCACACCGGGTTCTTGTCCCGGTTGCCCCTCTTCCAGGCCAGCTCTCTGCTGTGGCCAGGGAGTGCAGTGGAGGATGGCCCAAGTGCTTGGGCCCTGCATCCCATGGGAGACCAGGAGAAGCACCTGGCTCCTGCCATCGGATCAGCGCGGTGCACCGGCTGCAGCGTGCCGGCTGCGGCGGCCATTGGAGGGTGAACCAACGGCAAAGGAAGACCTTTCTCTCTGTCTCTCTCACTGTCCACTCTGCCTGTCCAAAAAAAAAAAAAAAAAAAAAGTAATAAACTTTCAGCCCCGTTTTCTACACGTGGAGAGGAGAGGCTAGAGGGGCTTCGTACCCCACTCCTGCTGAATCCAGAGCTGCTCCCTGCCGTCTGTTCTCCCGAGGCTCTTCCGGCTCCCGGCTCTGCTGTGGTGAGGGAGTCCGAGGGCCTGTTTCTCCCTTCTCAGGCTGTGAGCAATGAAGACCCATGTCCTGTTGGTCCCAAAGGTTCAGGACGGTGAGAAGAGTTCACGTTTCCAAGTTGAAACCGTCAAACACTCTGGGAGGCAGGCAAACCATGGACACTGCCACTCAGGCCTAACGGCAAGTTCACGTGGTGGGGGGCAGCCCTGGCCGGGACACCTTCATGAACTTGCAGAAGACCCTTTGCTTCTTGAACTCAGTTTTCCCATCTGTTAATTGGCTGTGCCGTATGCACTTTCTGGTGAGTGACAGTGCTGGACACCATGAGGGGCAACTTACTGGGCCTGTGATGGTGAAGGCAGCATGTGTGTGCATTCAGCCAGGGCCTGTGTACCCAAGAACCCCCTTTAGCAGTTGTGCAAGACTGGCACTGGGTTACCCCATCACGGAGGAGGAGGCAGTGTGAGGGTTCTGACCCCCATCTTTCAGATGAGGGAGTGGAGGTGTTGGGCCCCACGTGCTGAGCCAGACTGGCTGCTTTCCCCTGCCTTTGCTGGTCTGGGGAGGAGGCTGGGGTGTGGGCCTAACAGGACTGCTGGGCCAACCTGGGGAAAGTTTATCTCCCTTAGAGGGCGAGGAACTTCCCAAACCCAGAACTGGCCACAGTGCAGGTCCTCAGCAGGTGGAAGACAGGAGGAAATGCAAGCTCCCAGTGACCTCCTCCCCTGGGTCTGTCCCAAGGACACCTGGGAGTCCTCAGTGCTCTTGTCCCACCGACCACCCAGGCGGCTCTCCTGCGCGGCCCTTCTCAGGAGCAGTCAGTGCCTGCATCAGATCCCCCCAAGGCCCAATCCCGGAGTCCCAGCCCACATGCCCAGCCTGCCCTTTTTTTTTTAAGCTTATTTATTTGAAATGCAGAGTTAGAGGTCTTTCACCTGCTGGTTCACTCCCCAGATGGCTGCAACAGC